GTGAAGCAATAACAAGTATTAGAAAAACAAATACTAAACCCTTCATATTATAAGAATACACTAATATAATAATATATACGATAATATTGTTGCGATGTGAAAAATGGAGAAAGAAATATTACAATATATAGAGATGTGGATGTAGCATCAAATAGAACAAAAGTGTGGCTTACACAATTTTAACGTTATATATAGAAAAAAAATCATATTTAAACTTTTAGGTAATTGAACAAAATAACTAAGGTTTTTAGATAAAATTGGTGAATTATACATATGTTTTTTACAAATGAATCGATATTCTTAGCTAGGCAAAATAAAAATCAGATTATGTTGAGAAGGAATTGAAAAATAGACAGCGGATCTCAATAATTAGTATTATATAATAAAGATTTCCTTTATAAACTATTATTAAATATGATGCATAGAATCTTATTCATATTTTGTTTGACAATATTGATCAAATTGTTAACTTATATCGAATATAACTAATTTAGTTATTTGGCAATTTAGATTCTCTTAGCTTATAACTTTTTTTTAGTAACTTTGCATTCTTTTTATTCAAATGCCATAAAATTGATGAATTACATTTGGTAAAAATGAATAATATTTGGTCAAAAATATTTAATTTAATTATAAATAAAGCATATGACCCTAATGAGTATTGTTTTACAGCACCCTTACTATATGGTAATTAATTTAAAGCTTAAATGGTACTCGATATGATGCTGTTGACTTGATTTTGAGAATATTTTATATAAAAGTTTGAGTTTGAATTTATCACTAAATGCATTTTACTGGGTTCCAAACAGACACGGGTCCAAAGATATTAAAGTCCAATCATTAATTCATGAAAGTGTGCGTCAAAGTATCGATAACTTAAAATATTCGTTAGTAAGATAAAATAGAATAGTTTAAGTGAGACACCAAATCACACTGGAATCATGATCCTAACCGCCCAAATCACACGGAATTAAAATTTGTTCAAATAGTTAATTTTTTTTAAAAAAATATGAATATAATTTTGGTATTTTTAACAATTTTAGTAAATTTTCTCAAAAGGAATCCAATTTAAAGTTGTATTTATTTAAAGTCCAAATTTCAAAATAAAAAAAACCATTAATTTTTATTTTTATTTTATTTTACCATAATGACTTATGTTTTTTTAAAAATCATTTTAATATTTATAATAAAAATCAATATAATTTTTTAATTTATTCTTCACACATTTATCATTCTAAAACCCTTGCAAAATTAGCTAGAGGATAGGACACTCACAAAATAGCATCCTGTTGAACTGCAAGAGCAAACTAGTGGCACAGTCATGTCACTATTTTGGTAGAGGATAAGCCCCTAACAAATGCGTCTATATTTTGTTTTTTGTTAGGGGGAAAACTCTTAGCGCGTGTGTCGACATTTGCTTTGAGCTAACCTGCTAGCAAACGCAATAATGTTTTGAAATTTGTGATGTGATTAATCTCACGCAAATTGGTAATTAGTTGTGTGAGGATTAACCCATACCTAATATTTATAATATCATATAAAAATTATTATAACTAGCGTCCAGATGGGCACTCGTGTGCCCGCCTGTCCGCTTTTTTTTATTGCGCTAACGCGTGAAAATATTAACTAACTTATTTTTTTATAAGTTTAATTTTAATATTAGAGCCAATCCACTAAAGAAAGGGAGAATTCCCCTGCAGAGTCTTTCTAGAGAAAGCAAACTGCTTCGCTTGCCTGAACGATTCACTTTTCCTTTATAGTTCAGAATTCATAGATATATATATTTATCAATTACCTACGAATAAGATAGGCAGTATGTCTATTTTGGTTTAAAGATAATAACTCATTTTCATTGGTATTACCAATTGAAAACTACATTTTTGTTTACTCAACACCATTTTTTTGTTAACATACAATTATAATAATGGATGTATGCGAAAGAATAAAAATGAAATGATAAAAGGATAGTCAAATTTAAAGTCACACACCCTCCTAGTTTTTGTTTCCATTTTCTTTCTCTTACACTAATAACTTCTCTCATACATCACACATACCTTTTTTTTGTTTTGTATTTATTTTTCAAAAATATGATCTTCTATATTCATAGAGATTCATTTCCACATTAAAAAAATCTTTTATATAACCACTAATCAATTCACTATGCTACACTTTCTTCACCTATTAAAAATTAAATGGAAAAGCAAGAGAACCATCCATTTCAATTTGGGTTGGAATTGTAAATTGAAATAGCAACCGTCAAAAATTAATGATATTTAGAAAAATTAATGATGATTAATGAATTAAGCATCCTACATGGATGATCCAATGACATTAATATTCCATTCATTTAAATTAATAGGCAAATTTAAATTTTGATTCCTTTGAATTTTAATGAAAATCTCTCCTAATAAATAATTAATAGGAAAATTTATTTCTTTCTCTTTATTGTTCTTAAAACATATAATAGGCAAAAAAAAATATGCTATTTGAAATAGTTATCTTTGAAATTCAAAATTACCTCTTTTGAGGATGAAATGCTAGTGTAATAAGACCCGAAATATAAGCATGAATTAATTTCAATCTTGATGTTGCTCTCGAATACAAAAACAACACAGAAACAAACATTGGAACTTCCATAGGACTTCTAATACAAACAATGACAAAGAAGTAAATTATTAACCACTCACAAACTATAAATTATGAAGAATAATTGGATGAAACATTAAATGAACATGTTTTTTTACTCTATAAATTTGTAGTTATGTTATGCATCCCACCTTGGGAGGTTTATATATAAAAATAAAAATAAAAAACCAACTCTAGGAGTTATGGAGTTACCACAATTCAAAATAACTACCATCATTTAATAAAAACTTCATTTTTTTTATTTGTATTTTTGTTTTTAAAATTAACTAGAATTAAATTTTAAAGGATAAAATAGAAATAAAAATAGGTCAGTCTAAAATTCCAATTCCCTAGATAAATTATTTAATTTTAATTTAATTATAAACTATTTATAAAATAATTAAAGATAATGATATGAAAAATAATAAACTGTTGGCGGTTAATAAACCTTTGTGTAACCGCCGTTGTGAGGGGAAAAATTAAAATTTAAAATAAAAATTGAAAAGGGTAAATTTGGAAAGAAAAAAAGCTACACCAAAACAATCTATTGCCTTTATATATTGTTATAGATTATAATACAATTATAATAAATTTTTATTTTTTTAAAATTTTGTAAAATAAAATAAGAAAAAAAAAAAATATATATATATATATATATATAATTAATTAATTAAATAATTAATTAATTAGTTAACCTGTTACCATGACCAGGTCCACAAAAGCACCCGTTATGTTGATTAATGAGGAGTTAGTGTTAATGGCAACACAATCGCCAGCTGAAAAATATTGGAAATAATCTTAAAAATTAAGATGAAAATCAAACAAAATTAATCTATTATCATTTTTAACTCTTTGATCAACCTAACAAAGGTAACTAAATAACACTCAAGAAATCTAAGTGAAGTTATGTATTATAATGACCAGCTGTGATTGTTAAATCCTTAATGATGACATTAGACGATTCTGCAATATCAATTCCCTCGGTGTTAAGACTATCTTCTTGTGCAATCATTTTTAGATTGGAGATAGAAATAATGTTGCATGAACATATGCCCATATAATTTTTTGACCCACATCTCCGTGCTGACCAAAGAATTGTGATTCATTGCTCTACACCGACCAAAGGTCTAATAGCACGGGGATCATTATCTTTTCTTCTCCTCTAGGCCCAAGGTATAAAGACCCTCGTAAGGGGTTCTAAGGTACACAATCTTTAATTTTCACTTTCGCATCCACTATCTTAAATCCTAAATTGACTTGGGTGTTGGAATGCAAACAACGCAAGTTCCTACCACTGAGTCCACCATATTGGAAATAGCATCACCAATTAATTGCACTGTATCAAGATCAATGTTTCTTGTTCAAGAAGCACCGTGATCGAAACCTTCGATCCATGGTGTTGTATCAGCATAGTGCATTGAAATCTCTGATTCATCATAGTTTCTGCAATCATCACCATTTATGATTTTGAAATGGAACACCAATGATATTTATTATGTAAACAAGAATAAAACTTTGAATCCGAACAAGAGATATACTCTGAGAAAAAAACTAAAATAATAATGAAATGGTAGTGAGTAATGTTTTTTTTAGATAAAATAATGATGCATATTTTATGGGTTGGTGTTTGAAGACCTTTGGATAAGGAACAACATTGTGTTTATGTGTTTTTTCATACTTGTTTTTAGTTTTCAAGAAGAAAAAGAAAAAGAAGGAATGCTTGTGTTCATATGGGTTAAATGAGTTTCAGATGTGTGAAGTTTTGTGTTTATAGTGCTCTTAAATTTATAATGTCTTTTTAATATAATAATACAAATATATAAAATAAATATATTTAAAAATTTATACTTTTTTTATTTATTTTAAAAACCACTGTTATATGAGTGTGATATTGTGTCAAATCTCAAGTAGTGTGTTAAACAATTAAGATATTATGTCAAACATACTTATTAATATATATTTTTTAATATTTAAATTCGAATTCCAAAAAATATTAAATATGATTTAAATAGTAAGAAATGTAAATTAGATAGTATAGGTTCAAAGTCCTAATGATTTAGTTGTCAAGAAATTGAAAGTAAAGTTATGGGTTTGAATTCGATTTTTTGTTAAGTAATGATTTAAATGTGTTGGTCATTAATTTAATAAAAGTTTACGGAAACAAATATTATAATAATTATTTCTAAAAATCAAGTCTTCCATTCTTCTTTGTTTCTTAAACAAATAATAATCTTGATGCAATATATCAATAGTAACAAAGATAGCTACAAGAAAAACCAATTGAATATTATTAATTTTAAATAAGAAAAGTGCTACATAGTGCAAGATAAAAATAAACTAACATTGTTATTTTTGAGAAATAAATAAGACATTAATTAGTATAGTGACGTATGTGATTTTTCATTATCAATACGAGTAATGTTAATATTATAAAGTTCAATGTTGATGCAACTAATATTAGGCTTGCATTTTAGTTGGATTGGATCTTCGGTCGATGTTCCACGTAGATTGCGAAAAATAACATCAGTCACTGCCACACCTTTTCCATCGTCATCATCATATATTTTAGGATTGTAACTCTGGTCAATAATTATAGGATTCTTGACTTCGTTAAATTCAATATCTTCGTATGTGATCTTCCTAGCATATCCATTTCCTCCCTAATTGAAAAATAAAATCATAAAATATTTTTAATTCAAGCCTAACTCAACTCTATAAAATGAATTTATAAAATAAAAAATATATGACATAAACTTTTTTCAGATTGCATAACATGATATGAGATTATCAATAATATTATTACGATACTGTTACTATACTAATCCATTTGTTCGGCTAGATTCAATATGTACTTACCTCCCATGTCTTGATTCTAGCTCCATTTGAAGTTCTCGTAAAAGTGCAGTTGTTAACATATATATCTTCTACTTTAGCATATTCTCCATTTTTTCCGAGGCTACCAACACTGAAATCACCAATCCCATATAATTTTAATATTAATCAAATTAATATATATATATATATATATATATATATATATATATATATATATATATATATATATATATATATATATATATATATATATATATATATATATATATAAAGAAAATTAATTAACTTTGAATTAACCTGATGCCATGACCAGGTCCACAAAAAACACCAGTTATATTGATGAAGAAGGAGTCAGTGTTAATGGCAACACAATCATCACCTGGACAATATTAAACAAAAATTATTTTAAAAAAATCAAGATGAAAATCAAACATAATTAATCTAATATCATTTTGTAACTCTTTGTTCAACCTAACAAAGGTAACAAAAGAACACTAAAAAAATCTAAGTGAAGTTATGTATTGTAATGACCAGTTGTAATTGTTGAATCCTTAATGATGACATTGGACGAACTTGCTATATTAATTCCATCGGTATTAGGGCTATCGTCTGGTGCAATCATTTTAAGATCAAAGATATAAACATCTTTGCATGAAGCTATACCCATATGATTTTTTGGACTATCGTAGTGAGTCAAATTACTAATTGTAATTTTTTCGCACCCAACAAACTTAATAGCCTGCATAAGAATATTATAAAGTAATTAAATGCTTAAATACTCCAAAGTAGTTAAATTAATTTAGACAAACTCAAGTACTAGTTATCGTATGAATAGACTTACAGAAGGCCTTTTACTTTCATTATCAGGATACTCTTTCCACCATGGAGCACCTTGGCCATTAATTTGTCCTCCACCATTGACAGTAAGACCAGAGATGTCTTCAAATCGAATCCATGCTAGCTCTTTATCTTCTGCCCATTTCCAATCCTCCATGTTTTTTGGGGCAATGATAGTTCCTCCAAGCTATCGACCAAAAAGTACACATTCAGCATTTTATATATCAAACATATTAAGGTTAGAATTGAAAAATATTTAAATTAAAGAAGGAGTACCCAAACTTTAATTGTTGCACATTTGCATGGACCTTGGAATATTAAAGGTTGTAAGAAGAATGTTTTGTTGTTTGGTATGATAAGTGTTGGGGTAACTTGACTCCCACACACATCTTGCCATGCTTTTATAAAAGCCTAGTGTCAAATAATTTAAAACATATTTAAATCTTCTTTATACTACAACAATAATATCATGAAGACAATATATAAAAATAATAAAAATATACTTCTGAATCATCAGTATTGCCATCCCCAATAGCACCATATTTAGTATTAGTAACATCAAAAGTAATCCATTCATCATCAGCTTTAGGTGTTATTCTAACGCATAAACTATGTGAAGCAATAACAAGTATTAGAAAAACAAATAATAATCCCTTCATATTATAAGAATACACTAATATAATAATATATACGATAATATTGTTGCGATGTGAAAAATGGAGAAAGAATTATTACAATATATAGAGATGTGGATGTAGCATCAAATAGAACAAAAGTGTGGCTTACACAATTTTAACGTTATATATAGAAAAAAATCACATTTAAACTTTTAGGTAATTGAAACAAATAACTAAGGTTTTTAGATAAAATTGATGAATTATACATATTTTTTTGCAAATGAATCAATATTCTTAGCTAGGCAAAATAAAAATCAGATTATGTTGAGTAGGAATTGAAAAATAGACAGCGGATCTCAATAATTAGTATTATATAATAAAGATTTCCTTTATAAACTATTATTAAATATGATGCATAGAATCTTATTCATATTTTGTTTGACAATATTGATCAAATTGTTAACTTATATCGAATATAACTAATTTAGTTATTTGGCAATTTAGATTCTCTTAGCTTATAACTTTTTTTTAGTAACTTTGCATTCTTTTTATTCAAATGCCATAAAATTGATGAATTACATTTGGTAAAAATGAATAATATTTGGTCAAAAATATTTAATTTAATTATAAATAAAGCATATGACCCTAATGAGTATTGTTTTACAGCATCCTTACTATATGGTAATTAATTTAAAGCTTAAATGGTACTCGATATGATGTTGTTGACTTGATTTTGAGAATATTTTATATAAATGTTTGAGTTTGAATTTATCACTAAATGCATTTTACTGGGTTCCAAACAGTCACGGGTCCAAAGATATTAAAGTCCAATCATTAATTCATGAAAGTGTGCGTCAAAGTATCGATAACTTAAAATATTCGTTAGTAAGATAAAATAGAATAGTTTAAGTGAGACACCAAATCACACATGAATCATGACCCTAACCGCCCAAATCACACGGAATTAAAATTTGTTCAAATAGTTAATTTTTTTTTAAAAAAATATGAATATACTTTTGGTATTTTTAACAATTTTAGTAAATTTTCTCAAAAGGAATCCAATTTAAAGTTGTATTTATTTAAAGTCCAAATTTCAAAATAAAAAAAAACAAACTAATGATAATTTTTATTTTTATTTTATTTTACCATAATGACTTTTTTTTTTAAATCATTTAAATATTTATAATAAAAATCAATATAATTTTTTAATTTATTCTTCACACATTTATCATTCTAAAACCCTTGCAAAATTAGCTAGAGGATAGGACACTCACAAAATAGCATCCTATTGAACTGCAAGAGCAAACTAGTGGCACAGTCATGTCACTATTTTGATAGAGGATAAGCCCATAACAAATGCGTCTATATTTTGTTTTTTGTTAGGGGGAAAACTCTTAGCGCGTGTGTCGACATTTGCTTTGAGCTAACCTGCTAGCAAACTCAATAATGTTTTGAAATTTGTGACGTGATTAATCTCACACAAATTGGTAATTAGTTGTGTGAGGTTTAACCCATACCTAATATTTATAATATCATATAAAAATTATTATAACTAGTGTCCAGATGGGCACTCGCGTGCCCGTCTGTCCATTTTTTTATTGCGCTAACGCGTGAAAATATTAACTAACTTATTTTTTTATAAGTTTAATTTTAATATTAGAGCCAATCCACTAAAGAAAGGGCGAATTCCCCTGCACAGTCTTTCTAGAGAAAGCAAACTGCTTCGCTTGCCTGAACGATTCACTTCTCCTTTATAGTTCAGAATTCATAGATATATATATATATATTTATCAATTACCTACAAATAAGATAGGAAGTATGTCTATTTTGGTTTAAAGATAAGAACTCATTTTCATTGGTATTACCAATTGAAAACTACATTTTTGTTTACTCAACACCATTTTTTTTGTTAACATACAATTATAATAATGGATGTATGCGAAAGAATAAAAATGAAATGATAAAAGGATAGTCAAATTTAAAGTCACACACCCTCTTAGTTTTTGTTTCCATTTTCTTTCTCTTACACTAATAACTTCTCTCATACATCACACATACCTTTTTTTTGTTTTGTATTTATTTTTCAAAAATATGATCTTCTATATTCATAGAGATTCATTTCCACATTAAAAAAATCTTTTATATAACCACTAATCAATTCACTATGCTACACTTTCTTCACCTATTAAAATATAAATGGAAAAGCAAGAGAACCATCCATTTCAATTTGGGTTGGAATTGTAAATTGAAATAGCAACCGTCAAAAATTAATGATATTTAGAAAAATTAATGATGATTAATGAATTAAGCATCCTACATGGATGATCCAATGACATTAATATTCCATTCATTTAAATTAATAGACAAATTTAAATTTAGATTCCTTTGAATTTTAATGAAAATCTCTCCTAATAAATAATTAATAGAAAAATTTATTTCTTTCTCTTTATTGTTCTTAAAACATATAATAGGCAAAAAAAACTATGCTATTTGAAATAGTTATCTTTGAAATTCAAAATTACCTCTTTTGAGGATGAAATGCTAGTGTAACAAGACCCGAAATATAAGCATGAATTAATTTCAATCTTGATGTTGCTCTCGAATACAAAAACAACACAGAAACAAACATTGGAACTTCCATAGGACTTCTAATACAAACAATGACAAAGAAGTAAATTATTAACCACTCACAAACTATAAATTATGAAGAATCATTGGATGAAACATTAAATGAACATGTTTTTTTACTCTATAAATTTGTAGTTATGTTATGCATCCTACCTTGGGAGGTTTATATATAAAAATAAAAATAAAAAACCAACTCTAGGAGTTATGGAGTTACCACAATTCAAAATAACTACCATCATTTAATAAAAACTTCATTTTTTTATTTGTATTTTTGTTTTTAAAATTAACTTAAATTAATTTTTAAAGGATAAAATAGAAATAAAAATAGGTCAGTCTAAAATTCCAATTCCCTAGATAAATTATTTAATTTTAATTTAATTATAAACTATTTATAAAATAATTAAAGATAATGATATCAAAAATAATAAACTGTTGGCGGTTAATAAACCTTTGTGTAACCGCTTTTGTGAGGAAAAAAATTAAAATTTAAAATAAAAATTGAAAAGGGTAAATTTGGAAAGAAAAAAAGCTACACCAAAACAATCTATTGCCTTTATATATTGTTATTTATAACAATATATAAAGGCAATACATTGTTTTGGTGTAGCTTTTTTTCTTCCAATTTTGTCCAATAATTCACACTATTATTCCTTTAACACCCTTCACAAAAATCAAGTACATAACGGTTAAAAATATTACAATTTATTTAATTAAAAAATAAAATACTAAAAAGTTACAGTTTTTAAAAATGCATAACTACTGAAGTTGGTTTTTACAACTTTTCACAACCCTCTCAAAATCTAACTTCCATTCTAATAATATCTTCTACTTCATCACAAGTTGCATATGCGTGTCTTTATAATTTCTCATTCTTCTTTTTTGCAAAAATCTATAACAATATATAAAGGCAATAGATTGTTTTGGTGTAGCTTTTTATTTTCCAATTTTGTCCAATAATTCACACTATTATTCCATTAACACCCTTTACTAAAATCAACTACTTAGGCGGTTAAAAAACTTCTATCAAAATAATAACTTCTCATTCCCATTTAACCCATTTATTTAAGAATTTATTTAAGAAGAAAGAGAATGAAAGAGAGAAAGAAAAGAAAAATATTCAACTTCTATGTCGTTTAATCTAATTGTAGAAAACATTCATCAAGAACAAAAGAGAAAAGAGAGAAGGAAGTCGAGATAAATGGTGAACATGAGGATATTGATATTTGATATGTTTGTAACAACTTCTCTAATTTTCTCTAATTTAACTTTAATTTTCTTTAATTCTGATTTCTTTTATTTAAAGGTTATCTCATGTAACATGACAAAATTGGGAAAAATACACGGAGTTGTTCAATTGCGTGAAGTTAGAAGAATCTATGTCATTTAATCTAATTGTATAAAACATTCATCAAGAACAAAAGAGAAAAGAGATAAGGAAGTCGAGATAAATGGTGTACATGAGGATATTGATATTTGGTATGTTTGTAACAATTTCTCTAATTTTCTCTAATTTAACTTTAATTTTCTTTAATTCTGATTTCTTTTATTTAAAGGTTATCTCATGTAACATGACAAAATTAGGAAAAATACACGGAGTTGTTCAATTCCGTAAAGTTAGAAGAATTTGGTGTTGTAAGGTTAAATTATATATTTCATCTAAATTCACTGACCATCTAAGTCCTTAATACATTAATAGAAATCACTTTCTTAAAATAACTATCGTTACCCATTAACACTTATATAAAACTTTGTTTGTTTAATAAATAACTTATGGATTTTTATCTATATTTCATATTTCAAGTAGTGATTCTCTCAATTTTTTCTTTCTTTTTTATAATTTGTTTTCTCTTCTCAATTTACAGTTATTTAATAATTTTTAGTTACATTATTTTATAACGTAGATATTGAAGCATCATAAAAAACATTCTCAGAATAAATAAAAAAATTGTGAGAGAAATTATCTATAGAAAAGATAGATGTCATGAATACAAATATCTGATTCTTTAATTTTAAGGAATTTTTCTCTTTTTCTCTCATGAAAATATATAGTTTATATAATAATAATCTAGAGATTCACAAAATACATGTATAAAATTCTATTATTGTTGTTTTCACGATTCTTACTTTTTTATCATCTAATGTTATATATCATTTTACTTTTTTCTAATTTTATTCATGTTATTTTATAAATATTAATAAAATAATTATAACTCAATTTTATTAATCTCAGCTTCCACTAACACTTAAAACACACACGTTCATTTGTCCTTCACATTCGTTGAGCCAAAACATTTATTAATAAATGTAGCCACTAACTCTAACACTCAAAATTATTGAGTAAACTTTTTATTAATTAATTAATAATAAATTAGAAACAAAAACTGGGTAATCCCATAAATTTTTGATACTTACTAAATTAAAATAAAACAAAACCTGCATTGTTGATCACGTTGGTTTTGCTGATGCAATAGCCATATTACAAATTTAAACAGTTGGGTAATAGCCGTATTACAGTGTATAATTGCATGTGATAATTTTTCTGGCAATTTACAACGAAATGATAACCAACTATAATCATCTTGCTTACAATTTTTTTTATTACTTAAAATCAATAAAAAAAATTTTAGAAAAAGTTTATGCTTCTTAATATTATTTCTCCAATTATAAACAAATACATTGAGAAAAGTATGAAAATGAGGCATTTATTTTTGTAATAAATACTCTTACACAAAAATATAAAATCACTATTTATATTTTATACACATTAACTTAAAAAAAAAAGACAATTAAACCTAAAAGGCATGAAAATACTATATAAGACATAATTATTTATACATAATAGACATAATTAAAAAAAATATTTTATAATTTTCTGCAGTTATTAGACATAATTATTTAGATATAATTAATGTTGAATTTTATTCCATGTATTTTCTATAACCTTATGTTTTTTATTGTTATTTTTTAAAATGAGAGACATCTTCGTATAAATAAATATACATTTATTTTACTTTTTATTTTATTGATATTTATTTATCATATATTTAATGCAAAATTAAGTTATAAAACACAAACTCATTTCACAAAATTTATTTCATAAAATATTAATCTATAACATCTATATCTTCTTCTATAACATCTATAACAATATATAAAGGCAAAACATCATTTTGGTGTAGCTTTTTTTTCTTCCAAAGCTATCCTTTGCTATTTTGAAAATTGTAACTGCATACCATTTTGTAATTTATCATTTCAATAGCTACTTAAAAGTTGAAAAAAATAATATAATTGCAACTATCTCTCCACAATATTTTCTCCATGGTTACTAATCAAATTTTCATCTATAACAATATATAAAGACAAAACATCATTTTGGTGTAGCCTTTTTTTTCTTCCAAAGCTATCCTTTGCTATTTTGAAAATAGTAACTGCATACCATTTTGTAATTTATCATTTCAATAGCTACTTAAAAGTTGAAAAAAATATTACATTTTTGTATCTATAGTACACGACACATTAATTTTTGTACTATAGTACACGACACATATCGTATCTATAGTACACGACACATTAATTTTTGTACACGACCCATTCATTTTTGTATTATAATCTTTTTAAATATTACATTTAATTTTATAGATAAAGTAATATAATGGAAAATATTCGTAGTCAAGATTTAAGAGAGCGTCAAAGGGAAATACGAGCACAAAATGCAAGAGATAGAAGACAACGGACGAGTGTTGAGCAAAGACAATAAGAATTAGCTAGAAGGCGTTCAAATTACAGACAAGATAAAGACAAAGGGAAACAAGTTCAAACATATAATACTTCTAATGTGAGAACCATAATGCCATTTCAAGACTTGACGAATGTCAATCTTGCTTCTCGATTGTTTCCGATGGCACATGACAGTGAAGCTGGACCGAGTAATGCACATGTTAGTCGCATTTCATCCCTGGGTTAGAAACTTTAACTTTTGTTATACATTATACTTTAACACATTAAATTTAAAAAAATATTAATTAATTATGCAAAAATGATTGTCTGGTCTATCAATTCAAAACTAATTTACAGATCAAAATTTTCCATGGCCAATTTTTGAACAAACTGATAACAACGAAGCAAGACCATCTATAGGAAATATTGATGACAATGATTGTGGTAAGTATAATTTTGTCAATAATAATCACATTAATAGTAATACATATTTAGATTTATACATTATTGTTATTTTTAAACTATAACTCTATATTGAAGTTAATACTTTATTTTGTAGAATCACCTTCACAAAATATGAATCCAGCGATTGAAACTCACGAAACACAGTCAGTTTTTGATCAAGGTACGATTATGTATTTCTAATCTATAATATATATTGTATGTTTTTATTTAAATTATACTAGCGTCCAGACGGGCACTCGCGTGCCTGTGTGCTCGCTTTTTAAATGCACACGTAAAAGTTTAAATGACATTTTTTATTTAATATTAATTATAAATTTCATGTTAGTAAGCATGTATATAATAAGTATACTTTTTTTAATGGATATTTTAAATGTAATAAAACACAGAATCACGATATGTTTTTCAAGCAAGACATAACATTGCTAGAAATTTTCGAAATACTGTTATGACAATCAAATCCCTACTGCCTCTTTCAAGTGAGTGTAGACGATGCACTGCAAAATGGTTTCATAAAGAATCTCAAGACATGTGTTGCAAGGGTGGAAAGGTGACAATTACACAGGTGCCTGCTCCTGACGAGTTGTTACAATTATTTTCAGACACTTCTACTGAAGGACGACATTTTAGACAACATATTAGAAGTTACAACCATGTAATGTCGTTTACTTCACTTGGTGTCCACGTCGACGAAAGTTTGGTTACAACTGGTCGTGGTATTTACACATTTCGTGCTCAAGGCACAATTTATCACAAAATATGAGGTTTTCATCCGAATCAAGGTTCAAGGCCACGCTACTTGCAGCTATACATTTATGATACTGATCATGAGCTTCAAAATAGGATGAGGGAAAACCCAATACTTAACCAAGCCATAGTGTATAAATTGCAAAAAATACTCCATCAATGCAACCCGTTTGTCATCATGTTTAGGCAGCTTGCACTAGAGCCAAATGTTGAAGAATGTAGGTTACTCATTAAAGAACGCCCGTCAAATCAACCACAATATAGTCTCCCTTCAGCTTCTCAAGTTGCAGCAATTGTTATTGGTGGTGGTGATGAAGATACAATAGAATGTGAAAGAGATATAAATGTCATCAGCTGTGATGGAAATCTAACAAAGGTTCAAGAAACAATTGGGTATTATGATCCTTTACAATATCCTATATTATTTGCCGTTCAGAACATACGGTTGAGACATAGAAACAAAAAATAATGTTGGAAAAAAATGTTACATGCCGAGAGTACTACAGTTATGTGCTTCAGGTACATGCTAAACTTTTTTTTAAAGAAATTTACTTCTAAAAGTGTAAAAAAATAGGTCATGATTGATTATTTTTTTTAATGTAGATTCGACATAATGATCAATTTGTATTGTTAAAATCGGGTCGACTTTTACAACAGTATGTTGTAGACAATTATGTAAAGATTGAAACAGGAAGGTTGAGATGGATTCGAAGAAATCAAAATAATATTCGGTCTGAGGTATATCAGGGGTTACAAGATGCATTGCACGATGGGGAGAATAACGCAGGTATTTAATATAACATGTTAGATTTATACATGAAGAGCATCCACTTTATGTTTACCACTATCATTTTTTTATAATTTTCATATATTTCTATAGATAATGTTGGACAAAGGACAATATTACCATCATCATTTATTGGAAGTAAGCGAGACATGACACAAAGATATCAAGATGGTATGGCTATTGTTCTTAATGATGGTAAACCATATATATTCCTTACAATGACATGCAATCCTTCCTGGATTGAGATAACTTCCGAATTAGGAATCCATCAAACTCCACAAGATCGACCTGATTTGCTAACAAGAATTTTTCGATCAAAATTTGAGCAATTGAAGGATGATGTCATTAATAAAGGAGTCTTAGGGAGAGTTAGAAGTTATATGTATGTAAAGGAATTTCAGAAACGTGGACTACCACATGTGCATATGCTACTCATCTTGGATACTGATGACAAGTTACGGGAACCTGAAGAGTATGATAGTGTGGTGAAAGCAGAAATACCACAACATGAGTCTGAGCCAGAATTGTATGAAGCGGTGTTAAAACACATGACCCATGGTCCATGTGGAGTATTGAATCAAAAATCTCCATGTATGAAGAATGGTCATTGTAAAAAAAAGATACCCAAAAGAATTTTGTGAAGAAACGCGTCAGGGAAATGACTCATACCCGGAATACATAAGAAGGTTTAGTGATCCCATTTTCCTAAATAGAAATAAGTTTATTGATAATAGATGGGTGGTTCCTTATAACCCATGGTTGTTGTTGAAGTATTATTGTCACATCAATGTCGAGATTTGCAGCAATATCAAAAGCATTAAATATTTGTATAAATATGTTTACAAAGGTCCTGATCGAGTTGTAATGGAAGTTCACAGAGGTACAGGTTTGGATGAGATTCAACAATATGTTGATGCAAGATGGATTTGTGCTCCAGAGGCATTGTGGAAAATATTCAAATTCATACTTTACAAGTTATATCCCTCTGTTGAAAGACTACAAATCCACTTGCCAAATCATCATCAAGTGCGGTTTTATAAGCATCAAAGAATCACAGATGTGCTAAATGATAACCAAAATGCAGTAACCATGCTCATTGAATTCTTTGCACTAAACCAAATGGATCCACATGCTACGAATTATTTGTACAGAGAGATTCCAGAGCATTATTGTTGGCTAAAAGGGGTCAAAAAATGGCAGCGAAGACAGAGAAAACGAAAAGTTATTGGTCGAATCTATACAGTATCCTCTTCAGAAGGTGAGAAACCTTACTTACGTGTTTTGTTGTCTCATTTAAGAGGTCCAACAAGCTGGGAATACCTTCTTACACATAATGGTGCATCTTTTTTCACATTTAAAAAATCAGTTGAGGATTGGGGGTTATTAGAGAGTGATAATAGTATTCGTGAATGTTTGTTTGAAGCATCAAATATGCGTATGCCATATGCTTTACGAAGGTTGTTTGTGACTATATTAATTTTTTGTGAACCAACTGATGTTAGAGGCCTATTTAATGAGTTTTATCCCTACATGGTGGAGGATTATCAAATGACAAATGTTATTGTGGGGGATAACTTTGAAAATATGTTATTGCGGGAATTGAGGGATCTTTTGCTATTGCATGGAAAACTAATAAAAAACTACGATCTTCCAATGTTGACAACGGAAATAAATGAAGTCGGGGGAGTGCCAACAATTATTCAAGAAGAGTTATCGGTCCAAGTTCCAAACGAAGACGTTCAATCTGTTGTGAAGTTAAATAATAACCAGATGAGTGCTTACAATATAATTATAAACGCCATCCACCAAAAACAATGTCGATTTTTTGTTGTTGATGGTCCTGGAGGGACAGGTAAAACTTTCCTTTATCGAACTATAATGGCAAATTTGAGGCGTAATAATGAAATTGTCTTGGCAACAGCTTCCTCTGGTATAGCTGCTACATTATTACCTGGTGGTAGAACTGCACACTCTCGATTTGGGATCCCCATTGATATAGAGCCCCATTCTATTTGCAAAATAGCAAAGAATTCTGACCTAGCAAAACTCATTAGAATAACCAATGCAATCATCTGGGATGAAGCACCCATGATAAATAATAATGTGTAGAAGCATTGGATCGATCACTTCAAGACATCATGAATAACAATGCTCCATTTGGTGGAAAAATAATGATCATGGGCGGAGATTTTCGTCAGGTGCTACCAGTTATTGAAAAAGGAAATAGAGGACAAATGATTTCAGCATGTACTGTTAGGTCTCGATTATGGTCCACCACGAATGTCCTACATTTGCGCCAAAATATGCGATCAATTCATGACCAGGACTTTGCGCAGTTTCTAATGAGGATTGGAGATGGTAATGAACCTACTAAAGAGGATGACATGGTCAGAATGCCTGCTGAAATTGTAATACCTTGGGAAGGAGAAAGCTCCATACAAAATACATTCCCCCAATTAGAAAACCATGGATGTGATGCTTCATATATGGTGGAGAGAGCGATACTTACTCCAAAAAATTGTGACGTGCATATGTTGAATGACATGATTATTGATAAATTCCCTAGAGATGAACATATTTTGTTATCTTTTGATGAGGTTGAGGGTGATACTCATAATCTATATCAACAGGAATACTTGTACACGATTGCTCCTGGTGCTTTACCGCCACTGATCGGTGGATTTCAATTGTGTTTTTAAACGCTGTTTGTGGTTAATTTCGCAATGTTTTTATCTGTTTTTCGAAGCTTTAGTTGTTATTATCTGCATTACTCGTAGTTGTGTGTCTTCGAGTCTTATTTTTAAGTTTATATTACTTTTGCCGCTGGTGCATTTGATTTGGTTTCTTTTAGTGTGTTTTTGGCAGGAATGGATAGCACGACAATCGCACCGCATTCGGAGGCAAATAAAAGTCGGAAAAGGGAAGTCAGAGCTACAACACGGGTACACGTGTTGCACAACACGGCCCGTGTCATGGAGGACACGATTGGCAGACACGGGTAGACCAAAGCAGAAGAAAAGAAGACTCAGACTTACAACACGGGTGCCCATGTCATGCAACACGGCCCGTGTTGCAGCCCTTGAAGAGGAGACACGCCCTGAAGAAGTCAGCAGCCTGACACGGCCACCCGTGTTGCACAACACGGCCCGTGTCAGGGCCACTGAAAGTGAAATTTTTCTGTTTTCTGATTTTTTGCTGTCAGACCTATTTCGAAGGGCATTTGAGACATTTCGCGATGTAATTTAAATTTAGATATAAGAGGCACATTTTAGAAAGGAGGAGACACTTTTGAACGGATATTAGGATTGACAACTGAGAGGAGAGTTCGGCTGGAAACAGAGGATCGATCAAAAGCGGAAGCAATTGATGATCCAAGGATTTCAACTTGCATTGTAATGATCTTCTCCTTTTCATTTCTAATTGCTTTTATGTTTACCAAGAACATGAGCAGCTAAACCCCAAGTTGTTAGGGGGTGGTCCTAAGTGCGATGTAATGACTTTTGTTTAATGATTCTATGAGAACTATGTTATTACCTTTATATATTTTATTTTGCATTAATCTTAATCGTATTCATATTGGAAAGTAGAATTCGAATCGTGCTTAGGCTTTAGTCTGGAAAGTCAACCTAACACTTTTGCAAAATAGTATCACGGTCGATATTGCTTAGGAATGAGGATATCCCGTATCACGTATTTTATGGTCGGAACTATTGCTTGATGCTTTTCATGGACACTGAGGAATGAGTGTACAGGAAAATCATCAAAGGGTTTTCATTAAGGAATTAAGACAACTAAAGTGGTCAACTGATAAATTAAGGTTAATAACTAGTATAGCAGAATAATCATACAGGGTCTTTACTCGCATCGTCTCCACTCCCCTAACACTGTTCTTAGATTGATTCATAAGTCCTTATTTACTTTTTATATTACTCTGCTACCAAACAAACCACTAGACCTTTTGTTCATTTGAATCCTAAAAATTCCGTTAATTACTACGCAGTCCTCGAGATCGATACTTGGGACTTTTCCCTTATTACTACAATTGGTAAAAATAGTACACTTGCTATTTTCCCGATCAAGTTTTTGGCGCCGTTGCCGGGGACTGCCAAATTAACATTGTTTTTAGAATCCAAAAGAAATTTTGTTGCTCTGCGACTAAAATTTTATTTTTACTGCATAACTTTTATCCGCGTGTATTATCTAACGCTTGTCTAATTGTGTATGCGAGGTCAGGCCTCAGCTAAATATTCTTTTGATACAGAACCAGAACGAGCATTGCACGAAAGACGGAGATTAGCTAAAGTTAAAAGACTGGAAGAAATAGAGGAAATTAGATATGTGCAGAGCGACTCCAAAGAGAGAGAGAGAGAGACAACACCTGAAACTGTTCAAATGGCCGGAAATCCACCTCAGCCTGAAAGACTGCTAGGGGACTATGGAGGGGCCAATGCTCAACCAAACCGGATGACCATTGTGAATCAACCGGTGAATGTTGCGCATTTTCAGCTACACCCTTCCACCATCCGTCAGTTGGAGAGCAAGTCGTTCGCCGAAAGAATCAACGAAGATGCAAATAAACATCTTCAGAGATTCCTCACAACTACCACCTCGCTGAAAATAGAAGGACATTCCGAAGAGGCCAAGAGATTAGTTATGTTCCCGTTCACACTCACTGATGATGTGGAAGAATGGTTTTACTCGCTTCCCGCTGGGAGTATCACAACATGGCAAGAGATGGAAACTGCGTTCCTGAATGAGTATTTCCCTGCCTCAGTGTTCATCCGAAAAAGATATGACATTGTCAACTTCAAGCAAAAAGAAGGAGAATCTTTAGGGGATGCATATAAGCGGTTTAAGAGGTGTCTTACAGCATGTCCTACTCATAACATGGACGCCACTGAGCAGATGCAAAACTTTGTGAATGGATTACGACTCAAAACAAAACAGCTCATAGATACTGCTGCCGGTGGCTCAACCAACTTCTCAACGGCCACAGGTATCAGAAGGATCATAGAAGCAATCGCCGCTAACGAGCACCTTGAGTTGTATGATCGCACGGTTAACCAACCGGAAGGTAAGATTGATCTGAAGCTGGAAGACCAGGTTGTTAAAATGGAGGATCAGATCACCGCTGAGGTAGATAGAAGGTTAAAGAAAATGAATATTGAAACTCAGGTAGTGGCACAGGTTGAGCCAGTTCAAGCAGCACCTTGTGAAATATGCGGTGGGCCACACTTTACAATGCATTGTGTAGCAACTCAAGAGCAAGTGGAACAGATTAATATGTTGAGGCAGAACAATCCTTACGCCAACACATAATCCTGGTTGGAAAAATCACCCAAACTTTTCATGGAAAGATCAACAAGGAAATGTGCACAAACCTGTTCAAGGCCAACAACCGTATCAACCTCAGCCACAACAGTACCAGCAGACACCGTACCAACCTCAATATCAACCACAAGCGCCTCGAAAAGTTGATTGGGAAGTGGCCATTGAGAAAATGGCCGCCCAAAGTTCTCAATTTCAAGAAGAGACAAGGAGTAACTTCAGGAATGTTGGAGCATCCATAAAGAATCTTGAAGTACAAATGAGTCAAATTGCCCAACAGCTAGCAAGTTCACAAGCGTCGGGTACACTTCCAAGTGCCACAGTACCAAATCCGAAGGATCACCACCAAATTAAGGCGGTAGTAACAAGAAGTGGAAAAGCCAAGGAAGTAGGAGAAGAGGAAACAGAACTAAATGATCAGATGATTGAAGTGGAGCTAGAAATTAAAGAGAATGAAATAGTCGAGGAAGAAGTGGTGACACCGGTACCGGTAACTAAAGAAAAAGTGGTAGAACCGAAACCGGTGATCAAGCTGCCATACCCCTCAAGAAATAAAAAGAAAGGACAGCAAGAGAAGAATTTCGAGAAGTTCCTGGAGCTGTTTAAAAAGTTGGAGCTGAACATTCCGTTGTTGGAGGCACTAGAACAAATGCCCACCTATGCAAAATTCATGAAGGACATCATTGCGAAGAAGCGGACTAGTGAGTCCGAACCTGTTATTCTAACGGAAACTTGTAGTGCTATTTTGCAGGGTCTGAAGATTCCGGTCAAGAAGAAAGACAGTGGAGTTGTTACTATCCCATGCACTATTGGCGATAGGTCATTCAACAGAGCTTTAATTGATTTGGGAGCAAGTATTAGCCTCATGCCCTTGTCCATTTACAAGAAGTTGGATATCGGTGCGGTTCAAGACACTCGGATGACCCTCCAGTTTGCTGATCATTCAGTTAAGCGGCCATATGGAGTGGTTCAAGATGTACTAGTTAAGGTAGATAAATTTGTGTTTCCGGTTGATTTTGTGATCCTAGAGATGCCGGAAGATGAAGAAATGTCGTTAATTTTGGGCCGACCATTCTTGGAAACCGGGAGAGTCATGATAGATATGGAAGGCGGCACCCTGACCTTGAAAGTATATGACGAGGAGTTAAAAATTGATGTTAGTAATACCATGAAGCATAAACAGGATCGTGGCACCAGTAGCAACATACAAGTGCTAGAACAAGTCGTAGAGAGCGAACATTTGGAGAGTGTGACCCAACTACCCCTGGAGAGAGTGCTAAGCATGTCAATCTTTAAGGAAGACAAAGAAGTAGATGAGAATGACAGAGAGGTAGTCGAAATGTTGGACACTCGACCATTCCAACGGGGATCCCGACCACACCGATGGGAGGACTTACGGCAACCTATAGCGCTGGAAGGTAATGACGAAAAGCCTAAAGGTTCGGAATTGAAACAACTGCCGGAAAATCTCAAATATGTTTTTCTAGACACCGAGGAAAAGTGTCCCGCCATTATCAGCTCTAGTTTGAAAAGTGTCCAAGAGAAACAACTGATTGGGGTTCTTAAAAAATTTAAGAGTGCTATTGGTTGGAAAATCGAAGACTTAAAGGGTATAAGTCCTACAGTTTGCATGCACAAAATCCTTATGGAGAAGGACCATAAACCGGTTGTGCAGCCCCAGCGAAGGCTGAACCCCGTTATAAAGGAGGTCGTAAGAAAGGAAGTGGTGAAATTATTGGATGCTGGACTGATCTATCCTATATCAGACAGTTCATGGGTGAGCCCTGTTCACGTGGTGCCCAAGAAAGGAGGTACAACGGTGGTGACTAATGACAAGAATGAGTTGATTCCTACGCGTACAGTCACTGGTTGGAGGGTGTGCATTGATTATAGGAGACTTAATTTAGCCACCAGAAAAGATCACTTTCCGTTGCCCTTTATTGATCAGATGTTAGAAAGATTGGCTGGTCACGATTACTATTGTTTTCTAGATGGATACTCCGGATACAACCAAATCGCGGTTGCGCCAGAGGATCAAGAGAAGATAACTTTCACATGCCCGTACGGAGTTTTCGCTTATAGGAGGATGCCATTCGGGCTATGTAATGCCCCAGCCACATTTCAAAGATGCATGACTTCTATTTTTGCGGATATGCTTGAGAAACATATGGAAGTCTTCATGGATGATTTTTCGGTTTTTGGGTCATCATTTGATAATTGTTTAACTAACCTGTCACTTGTTTTGCAGAGATGTCAGGAAAGTAACTTGATCCTAAATTGGGAAAAATGTCATTTCATGGTAAGAGAGGGTATTGTCCTTGGTCACAAAATCTCACACAAAGGGATCGAAGTCGATCAAGCAAAAGTGGAA